GTTCTGAAGTTTTTCATTTTATTTTGATTTAAAGATATTTTCTATCGACATACTTAACAAATTCAACTTTTCTAATAGATATTATAGTTAACCATTCAGGAAACAATTCACAGGTCAATCGCATCTGTTTTTCAGCGTCCGGCACTGAAATATACGTATAATAAGAACTGATGCATTTTTCTATCAATATTCCTAACTGAATTGGTTTTGGATTAGTCAGAAAATAAAGATGAACAATTTTCAATAATTCAGGTAACTTTTGTAGCAATTTTTTTCTTTCGGCCTGTCCATCATCAGGCTTCTTGGGTTTGATTTTGTCAAGTAAGCTGGTTGGTAACCCTTTCAATGGACCCTCTTCAATTCGGGCGACATCGTCGAAAAATTTTGACAATTTTTTGGGTTCCAATTTTGTCGGTTGTTTAACTTTCCTTTGGAAATAGCTGTCTATTGTTTTGCATTTAGCAATGATGTCCAAATCATTTTTCCTTTTAGATTTTGTTGTTGTAGTTGATTTAGGTGTACGTAGTTTTTTAGAACTTAGGCTTGATGATGATTTTGATGGACGAGTTGGTGTTTTGCTCGGGGTTTTAGATGGTGTTGTAGATGGTGTTTTGAATGGTGTTTTAAGTGCTGTTTTAAGTGATGTTTTAGATGGTGTTTTAGACGGTGTCGTAATTGATGTTGCATCTTTCATAGCTTTAAACACTGATGGCAGCATTATTCACAAAAAAATTAAATTACTAATCGAGGCAAAAAACTATGAAACAAAAGTCAAAAAATGTTAAAAACAATATGACACGACAAAAGTTAAAGATCTAGTGAGCACCAAGTTTAAATGTCTTTTGTTTAATAACTTTAAACAAACTTGTTTCCTCTTTGCCTTTTGGCGCTTTTTCTTCCATTCACTACAAAGATTCCCGCTCAAAGAGTTCTTTAACATCGCCATCTGTCTTTTAACTCTATTTTCAACCTGAATTTCTCATTCTTATTTCTCAATTTATATCTATTATTAAAATGTGACTAATACAAATACAAATGCATCTAATTTCATTACACCTGTATTTTAATCAGAGTTTGTTAGATTAGACAAAATTTCAAAATATTGCTGATTAATCTATGACCAGAACTATTTTATTCACATAATTTGTCCAGCTATAAATTTCTTATCAAAAGTTACTTTTAATTAATAATGTTAGGTGATTAAAAGTTCATAAATTGGCAAAATAATTTTATTTTAATTGAAGTGCTTTTCTTCGTGGATTCAGAAACGAGCATCAAAAATAATTTTCACTGCATCACAATTATTTCTTGCTTAAAATTGCAAATCAATGAAGGCTAAAGAAATCAAAATGCGAAATCTTGTATTAAAACAGTTAGCAAAGTCATAATTCAACATTCTAAAAATTAGGCGTGAATGCAATGTTATTAATACAACAAAAATTTATCATTCAATCAAAAATAAATTATAGTCCTTTGATTTTCCCTCCCTAAAAATTTGGGTTACTTGGTTACAGTAACCAGTCCGTTGGTCGCACATATGTTAGCGTGAAAAACCATTATCCGCTTCGTTTTGAATTGTTTTGTTGTCATTCTTATCCTCGTTTTATCAATTTCCACCATATACATTTCATCTTATTGTTTAATTAACTTCACCAGCTTTAGATAATGTTCTATCATATAGCTCTTGAACATGAGGTTCAACTTCATCCTAAATATTTTGGTCCACAGCTTTTAGATGTAGTCAAGCAAAGCTATTCAGTGAAGTGGAAGGCTCCTGTACCGGCAAATATGGATTTATAATTGCTGTGACAACAATCGATCATATTGGCCATGGACTGATACAACAAAACTCTGGTTTCGTCCTGTATCCCATAAAATACCGGGCTATTGTCTTTAGGCCATTTAAAGGTGAAGTGTTGGATGCTGTCGTAACGCAAGTTAACAAAGTTGGAATTTTTACAGAAATCGGTCCACTATCCTGTTTTATTTCAAGACACTCTATTCCAGCTGATATGCAGTTCGATGCCAATCAGTCTCCACCATGCTATAAAACAGTAGATGAAGATATTGTCATTCAACAAGACGATGAGATACGATTGAAAATAGTTGGATTAAGAGTTGATGCTAAAGATATTTTTGCTATTGGAACCTTGATGGATGATTATCTTGGTCTCAATTAATACATATTAAAGACTAATCAGCTGCACTATACTTTCAATGATTGTTTTGAATTTGATGTAACCTGTCATTGCTATTTCACCTGACAAAAATAATATTGCAAGGCACACTTTCTCATTGAACCATTTCGATTTAATTGAAAACATTTTGCATCATAAATGCCAAATTTTTGTATGATATTGTAATATTTGGATTACTGCGAAAAATAAACGCCAGAACAATAGGTTGCAAAAAATTTAACTTTTAATAGAAATTCAGACTATGATACAATATTTATGTTTGAATATCAATTGATAGTCCAAGCTTTCCAATCATTCATGCAGAAAGATAAAATACTTTGATGACTAGATGATGATTCTTCGTCTTCTTCACCTTCATCTGCATCTTCATCTTCTGAATTTTCTTCTGAATCACTATGTTCATTATTATTTCTACGTTTACTCTTTCTCTTTTTTTCTTGACATTTTGCAATTTCTTCTGGATCTTGTGGTTCAATAAAGGCAGCATATTGGTCATCAGAAATTTTTGATTCTTTAGCAGCAAGTACTCCTTCTTTGATTAAAAAAGCAGAATAAAATATACTCTCCACAGTATCACAAAATGATTCAGGTTTAACAATCGATTTGAAATATTGAATCGGAGCTTTTTCTTTTTTGTACATATCATACAGTTCCTTATAAACTCGTTCAACTTCTTTACCATTTTTAAGATCATCACTTTCATCAATACCTTCCTTTGAATTAGGTTTTTTAGCCTCTTCTTTGGGATCTGCAAGTATATTACGGATACCAACTCGTCTTTGTTTAGTTGGTATAATAACTTCACCTGGGTCAAATGATCCATATAAATAATTGAGTATTGGCGCAGAGTTGGTTAAATAAGCACATTTCTTTCCAAGATCAACAAAGTCTTCAATTTTAAGTTCATTTTCGTCAATTGTATCATCTCTGAATATAAATTTGAAAAAAAACAAGAAAAGAAACAAATATTGTATTGAAATGTTGATAAAATAAACATAAGATTGAATATGGTATAATAAACAAAATACAAACCTTATTCTTGTATCTGGTGCAATATAAGTCCTTAGTTTTTCAGCAAAAAACAAAGGATCAAAGGCTTGACTGTCAACTTGAAGTGATTTAACAACAAGATGATTAACTTCAGATCCATTAAAAAAGTATTCAGCATCATATTCAATACATCTTTGAGATCCGGAATCAAAAGCGGTCTTTGAGAGTTCATTGGCTAGCTTTAGTTTCTTTTTAAGTAATTTTGATTTCTCTGTCACTTCCTTTGAATTTATTCCAGATTCTTTTAG